CATGTCATTTATTCTTATTTAATGTTAATGAAGTGAAAGCTCACTAAAAAATTATAGATATATACTACATATTATAATATATAATATTTTTATATTATATATTTATATTTATATAATTTTTAGGTGAGCTTTCACTTCATTAATTTTAAGTAATATTAAATGACATGAATTAATTCAAAATTTAAACTTTTTAGATCCACAAAATCTTAAAAGTTGGATTGCAATATATTTAAATATAACCAGTATTTAGTATCCAATATCACTGTTCCTCAATGTTCATCTCACGATTTTCAATATAGTCAACTGCATGCTTGAAAAAAAATTGCATCTCCAAGACTCTCTTGGTAATTTATTGTGCAACAAATATTTCATTATTGGTGTTTTCACAACCTGACAGGTTTATATCTCGTCAGCCCAACCAGTGTTTCTTTGGGCTTACGCAATCTCGGTCATGCTTTTCCTTAGGCCATTAAGACTTGAGGCCTCTAGGCTGGCGTTAAGCTCGTATTTGTAATTACTCTGAGTTATGGCCGGATTTGTACAGAGACATAAGCACACACTTAGCGAGTTTTCAGCCGAAACAAAGAAGAATATCTCGTCGACAGCCTCGATCTGAATGCCGTATTAAAGCCAAACTGCTTTGGGACAACACGAATCGGTCGTAATCTTCCAGTGAGATCAACCAACGGATGGCTTCATCGTGCATTTTCATATGAAATGCAATTTTCCACATCAAATATTCAATTTCTAAGGGTATATCGGTTGGATGAAAGTAGTGAATTGGTCGACCTGGTAACCCAAGAGGCTTCGTTTTGAGTGAAGACTGTTAGATTGTGCCAAGACGTATTCGGCTCACTGATGCTAAGCTTTCGTCTTTCATGTAAGAGACATAGACTAGTCAACATATCCATGGGATGCCTCATTAGGCTAGCAAATTTGGATATAAGAGGTAAGTGTATTTGCAGCAGACCACCCTTACTTCTTGATTTATTGTATTTGGTGTGTTTTGCGTAAGGTGTGCTTTCTCGCTCTGACCATGTCTGTCACATGCAACCTCAGCTTGGGTCGTTCGAGGTTGCGGGAAAGTGGGCCGAGGACTTCCAACAGTCTTTACTCTTAACGCGAAACTCGTCCGGTTTCCAACCGACTTTTGTTTTGGAATGAAAAGTCGTGTTACAATAATCCTAGCATCGTTCCTTGCACAAACGTCCTACCAAGACCGGATTTCCGACGAGAAGTGATGCAAGCTAGCTGGCCAATTGACGATATCAAGAGGGACAGAGGGACGAGGCGGGCCTCGAGGATGCCTCAGTTGATCTAACCCGAAAAAATATTCTCTCTCGCATGCATGTAGCCTCACAAACATTCACACTCGCTTCCGTGTCTGGTGGCAGTCAACATATACAATTCACTTCACATGTCATCGCGATTGTTGTCCGATGATGAAGTCGGTCTCTCCTTCGTTCTGGTGTATTGATTGAAACTGACAAATCCGAGGGAGATATGAAGACAAACTGGTTTTCGCAGAATCCCTCGATAGATTGATGTTGGTGTACCTTTCATTTCATTTGAAGAGGCCAATGGTAGGGATAAGGTTGGGCTGTAACAAGAAGCTGTGATTGCAGCCAACCACCTTTCTTGTCTTCGCGTTTTGATGAATTCTCGTAAAGCCTGCTTTCCTGTTCTGACGATGCTTGTCAGGGAGGAACAAACTAAAGTTCATCAGGCAATCCTGCTTCGCTATGGGAAAAACGAAAATATCACACCTTAATTCACCCAAAGCTCATTTCTAAGACTTGCTGTTAACATCGAAAATTACTTATATCGAAAATAAGTAGCTTCGTTGAAAGCACTTGCAAATGCATTTTTGTGTGTTAGTTGGAAGAGGCCTGGCCTATTTTTCGTTTATTAATGTGTTTTCGAGACCACCAGCAGGTCAAATATATTGGCACTATTTCGTTTAAAGTAATAAGAGGACTGACTGATAGTTGAATTTTACTGTAGATTTTACGTTTCCATTGAATTTCACATAGCCTCAATTTTCAACAGGTATTCTCATCCAGGCTGAAGTGGACTTCAGTATAGACCTCGTCTGAACTGGTCTCATCAGCACTCCCCGCGGGATTCGATATCGGGTCGTGAGTATTGTGATGATGGTAACCTTCGCTCCATTTCTCGGCAACTGGGGCCAATTTTCACAGGACAGATGAGACTTTCCAGACGAACCTGGAGTTTACCAACTCGCATTTACAAAGGTGATCTCATGTTGTTTAGGGAGAGCTAACGATTGACCATCGAATTTTCCCACAATAAATGGATTGCGCAAGTGCAAAACCTTGAAACCATGAAAGTGCTAAGCTCGAGAATGTTTCAGCATGAAAAGCTTCCAGCAAAGCTGGAATAGAAGTCCACCTTCCACCAGTTGGCTCTTTGAGGTGTGGTTTGGTGAAGCATTTTGGGTTCCGGCTGCAAAGCCCTCTTGCCGATGTCGACCCGGCAACCAGAATACCATTGTGCGGACGTCGCAGATCGTCGAAATTTCTACTTTCGCCGTGAAGCAGGGACTGCCTATTCTTGCCCACCGCAGCAAAAATCTCCATCCCCACGTCCGTACCGTCCGAGTAGGGCACATGTTACGAACGGGTCTGAGGCCGAAAAGAGGCGATTCGCAGGCCCCGACAACATAAGTGACCTCAATCTGTGCGCCCTTTGGTACCTCTTCTCGCTTGGATTACGTAGATTGGGGCCAATGGTGGAGTCCGGACATGCGATAGTGACAAGCTTTTGAATAAGCCCTTCCAGGAAGCTTGAATGCCATCGTCTTGGATCCAGTGTTTGAAGAGCATTCTTTGTCTGCTTCCATCGAGAGACGCAATTTTTACGTCAGCCAAAAATTCTGCATTTCACAGTTGAGTTGAGGAGGCTGCCGATTGGATCTGGTACAACCTCTCAATCCCTTGTACGCCTGATCGGCCATCTGGAATGGTGCTCCTTATGTATGTATGTGTACGTGTGTGCATGTGGGCGCTGCAATCTGTAGCGCGAATATAAATAAAAATATCAAGATATGTGTTTGTGTGTATGTGTGCATGTACATGGATGAAGGTATCATGAATGCTATAG